GGAGCCACTTGGGGGACATCATAACAGAGGGCAGGCACTGCAACAGATAAGGTGTGCTTCCTGGGTCCTGATTTATGACACTGTTTAATCAAAGGGACCTGGAGCCTACCAACTCTGAGGGCATGTGCTGGCTAGGCAGAAACCATGGGAGATAGGTGGTCTCTCAAATAACCTAGTCCTGTACCATGCATGGCTTTACAGGTGATAACCAGTACCTTGAATCACACTCAGAAGCATATTGGCAACCAGTGCAGCTTCTGAAGCAGAATTGTCTTTGGCTATGTCTGCTCACTGCATTATGGACCAGTGAAGCTTCCAAGTGGCCTTCAAGGGAAGCCCCAGGTAGAGTGCATTGCAGCTGTCTAATACATGAGGGCTAGGGTGAGTAACTGTCTGAAGGGACTCCAGGCTCAGGAAGGGGTGCAACTGGCACACTAGTTGGAGCTGTACAAAGGCTTCTTTGCCACAGCTGCCACAGACTCTTTGAGCAGGAGCTGAGTCCAAGAAGACCACCCAGATTGTGTACTACTTTTGAATGGGGAAACGCTACCCTATCCAAGATAAGAGATGGAACAACCCTGGATCTAGGTGGCCCTAATATCCCCAACCACTGTCTTGGTCGCAGTTCTTCTTCCTGTTCCTTAAAGTTACTCTTACAGCCCATAACAGCCATTTGGTCTTGGTAGGATTGAGTTGGAGTTAGCTTCTCCCCATCCAGGTCCGCATAACCTCCAGGCACTGGGACAGAATTTTGACAGCCTCACTTGGCCAGCCTGTGGTCAAGAAAAAGAAATGGGTATCAGCTTACTGATAACCCCAAACCACCAGATGACCTCACCTAGTGATTTCATATATATGTTAAAACAGGAAGGAGAGAACGTCAAGCCCTGTGGCATCTCACAAAGGAGGGGCCTAGGGAGCAACCTCTTTCCTCCTGCCATCACCAGCTAGAAACAGCCACAAGGAAAGAAGAGAATCACCATAAGAGGGTACTCCCTCAATTCACAACCCCAACAGCTGGTCCAGAGGGCCACTGTGGTCAACAGTATTGAAAACTGGTGAGAGATCAAGAAGCACAAGGATGGATGCACCCTCTTCATCCTGGCTCTGCCATGGGTCATCAACAAACATAACCAAGGCTGTTTCCGTACTGAAGCCAGCACTGAACTGAAACTGAAATAGGTCTAGATAATCTGCTTCCTCCAGGGTTCTCTGCAACCACAGTCCAACCACCATAAAAACAGAATGATGGAGACAGGTGATAGTTTTTGAAGATTGTTGGGTCCAAGGATGACCTCTTGAGGAGGGGGTGCACCACCCCTTCCCTCAAAGAGGCTGACACCACAGCATGGATCCATCTATAGGATATCTCCCTGGCTGCCTTAACAACCCAGGCGGGACCTGGGTTCAACAAACTGGTGGTCAAGCTAACAGTGCAGACAATCCTGTCCATTTCCTCAAGTCACTGACTCAAACTCATCCCAGATCACACCACAAGAATAGGTCCCAGCCACCCTGGCTGGACCTGCCCAGTTGCAGTCTAACCCCAGTGGATTTGAGCAACTTTATCTGCCAGATAGCCAAAATATTCCTCACAGTGTCTCTGTAGATGGTTCTGTGGCCCATCCCTGCCCAGCAGGAACTGGGTCACTCTAAATAGGGCTGTTGGATAGCTATTGGCAGATGCAATAAGTTGGAGAAATATTGATGTTAATATGGGTTCCTATGCATGTTTGATTAGTCTCACTCTGAGTCTTCTTTTAATGGCACTCCAGGCATTTCTTATTGTGTTTCATCTCCCAGACCTCCTCAGTGAACCAAGGATCACTCTGGGATCAGTGCACAGGGAGAGGCCTCATAACGGCAATATGATCCAAGGCTCAGCCACCCATTCATTCAGACAGTGACTCTTGGCCAAACTGTCCATCAGACCCTCAGGGAAATCCCCAGCTCCCTCTGGAAGCTCATTGGGTAGAACAGTCACCTGGGGAGGGTAACACCAGTGAGCCAGAAAGCAATCAGGAGTGATTTGTCGAGAGCAATGGACTGATGTTAATGTCCTCCACTACCTGATCATATCACTGCCCTGAGACAAAAACCACAGATCTAATGAGCAGCCACCAATATAGATCAGCCTACCACTGACTTGAGGCAGGTCTGTGGTTGCCATAGAAGCCACAAATTCCTGAGCTGCCCTGGACTTAAAGCCACCCGAAAGCAAATTGAATTTCCCAACCACCAACAGCCTCAGGGACTCTATTCCCAGCCCAGTGGTGGAATCCAGCAGTTCAGGTAGGAATGATAATGGGCAGCAGGGATGGCAGTACACCCATAGCAATCCCAACTGTTCCCTAGAACCCAACTTTAATCAAAGTGCCTCACATCCAATTACCTGCAGAGCAGAGCCTCTAAGAGCCTTCAAAGACTCACAGATGACAACAGCCACCTCATCCAATCTTCCCATGTAGTCTCAGTTTATGTAAAACCTGAAAATGTCTGAGCCCAGCCAGGTCTTAGTTAGACATGCCAGGTTGGTGCCCTCATCCATGATAAGGTCATGAATGAGGGCAGCCTTATTACAAACCAACCTTGTCAAAAGCATGGCTGGAGCTCAGGGCCACTGAGGATCTAATAACCAGGCACTGAGGGTGGAAACTGAGTGCCAGACAGTGGGACCATTTTCAAGCAGTGTGGCGCACTGTGGGTTCCTACCAGACTTAGCTCTGCCCATCACCATCCTGATGTTCCTGCTTGCCCTCTCAGCTTCCCCCACCCTGCTCCCCTCCTTATTCCCTCCTCCTAGGCCAAGGCACATATTCACCAACCTCTCCCACTCACATCATACATTCACAAACCAATGCCCCCAATCCCCCTCCCCTGTTACAACTGAACAAGCACTCAATCACCTCAAAGCCCCACCAGGAACCCACACACCCATAAGTGAGGAACATCAGAGTTCTGAATGATCAGAAGAGCTGAGGTGACACCACCCTCTAGAACTCAGAGAAGGGTCCCAACCAGGCAACTCTGGAGCCCAAAAAGGAGGGCCAGGAGTCAGGGCTACCAATGGCCTCCAAGTTAGCAAGAGGCCCTAGAATAAAACAGCACCTCCCCTGGTGTTGCCAGGCACCACACGACAACCATCAGCCACCTGGGACCCTTCCAGTCCATGGATCTCAGGCCAATCATGCCCTCACATGTTAAACATCTGGGGATGTAGCAAGGAACAGATGCCCACCATGTCTGCCATTTCACAGCAGGTCCTAAATACCCAACAGTCCACAGCACCTTCTTCTCACTGCCAGCTTCGAAGGCGTTGCCGGCTCCATTAATTCTGGCAGCTCTGGTGGCTCTACAGGCTCTACCAGACTCACAGCTCCAGCCACATTGCTAGTGCTGGTCCTGTCAACCCCAGCACACAGTGGGATGCCTCTGGCCTCAACCACAGCTCCAGGCACAAGCCCCATTCAGAATCCAGGGCTGCTGACTCCCAGGGCTCCAAGGCAATTCTTAGCTCCAGAGATGGCCCTGCTTCCCATGTGTCCTCCAGCCTTGTCTGCAGCAGCCAAGACTCCAGATGCTCCCAGGGCTTCATGGTAGACCAGGGCATTAGTGAGTGCCTTACCAGCCACCCAACCCTGCCATCCTCAGTGACAGAGGGCTAACTATCATAACCACAGTGGTTGCAGGTCCACTGCAAAACAAACATAACCCCCCCACACACACACACGCACACTAAATTAGCAATCCTCATGAACAATCAACACTTCAGGTTATGAGCAATATGGAATATGAACCTGAGGATCTCTCATCTTGGTTTGATTGCTCGATCCCTTGCAAGTTGAAAAAGTGATTGATGCCAGTTGTCTCCTAGTGGCTGTGCTGACCACCCTGCTTCTTGGCACAGTCCAGACTAGCATTTGCTTTGAAAGTGCCTTGGCTAGTTTGTCCATTCTGTGCCCGAGTTTTCTCTGTTCCAAGGGATGAACTAAGCTAGCACTTTGGCCCCGAGGACAGAAACCCTGGCAAAGGCTTAGGTAGTGAGGGATGCCCCTGTGGCTAGGGCTCTAATTGCAGGGTCTCCATTTTCATAGCCTCTGAGTGTTGGAGGTATCTTCCCCATCTTCAGTAACTGTGGCCCCAAAACCAGTGCTGCGATGGGCCATCCACTGGAGAGGTTGAGAAAACTTAAGACAACTTGAGGAAAGGTATAGAGGTTAGTGGTCAGGGAGGACCCACCCCTCACCTACCAAGAGGTTACCCATTCTCAAGGACTTTGCTGAATGTCTGAGGGAAGGGGAGATATGAGGCTGGATTGTTAGCCATTGGGAACACCTCTTCTGACTGCAGATCCATTAGGGTTCTTTGGCCTAGGGTTTTGCAAATTTTCCTGAGAAGTTGTGGGAAGTTGTGAAGATCTCAGTGGATTTAGGGACTGGCTGTTGGTCTTCATTGACCAGGGACAGCTCCTCATTTGACTGCTCTTGAAAAAAGATGCCTGAATTGTGTGCAATAAGTGATGGAGACTATGTGATCCTTAAGTTGCTTGGATGTCCATCTTTTCTCCCTGTGACTGCTGCCAGGTCCTCTGTGGTGGAGGTTCAGAGAAGACACCTCTGAAGAACAGGAGAGGTGATGAAAAATGGCATCATTTATTGGCCTCTTCTACAGTTTGATCTAGTTGGGGAGTCCCAGAATGGGTTTTGCCATGTTCTTTACCTCCCTGGGTGGTCAGTCACTCTTATGGGCCTGAACTAGGATATCAGAATCTTTCCTGGGGATTTCTAGGAAGTGAAAGTCTGGGGGGGCTTTGGAAAGGGAAATCTTGTGGTGGAGTGAAGAAGAGCGGAAAGACTGGGCCATGGCATTTCCAGTTTCTATCCCCTCCAAAGCCTGGGCTGTTTGGCTCCTTGGAGGAGCAATTACATCTCTGGCAGCTGTGAGTGTTGGACAACATCTCCTTGGGGAAGAGCAGTGGTGAGACAAGAGGATATATTGGCATGCTGCTGGAAGCCAGCCCATTGGCTCAACTCCAGCCAATGCAGATGTCCTCCAAGGTATCTCCAGACAGTGAATTCACATAAGACTTGTGGGAAAGAACAGATGGGAGAAGAGAGGAGAAAAGGTTAAGTTAGAGATCTGCTGAGATTAGGGAGTCTTTGATGGAGTCCATGAGCCTCCATGTTCTCTGGAACAAGACAGGTCTGGAACTGCGGATGGAGCTCTCTTCTCCCAGAAGAAGCATCAGCCAAATCTTCTAGTGCTGCCTGTAGAATGACAGCAAGGAAGGAGAAAAGGCAAATCTAATGATTACCACTGAGTTTCTTACATTTTCAGGTGAGCTGGTAATAAATAAACTTTAGATTTCCAGGTGTGGTGTTAGGAACTACGATCAATAGTTCTTCCAAAAGAAATGGAGTAAAATATTTTCATGTTATAGAGCAGATGGGTTCTGAATGGCATACACATTAGATTTTTCCAAGTCACCTGACTCTTGGGAATTGTGCCATTCCATATTAGTTTTGAAAGTAAAAACGAGACATTTTGGCACCTTGAAAGCTAACAATTTTATAATTCTATTAGCTGTTCTGGATTACAGTCTGATGAAATGGGCTGCAGCCCATGAAAGCTAAGGCTATACAGTAATAAAATGGTTTGTTTTTAACGTGTAAGAAAACATATATACTTTTGCAGCTACAGACTAGCATGGCCATCCCTCTGGAAACTTTTCTGAAATAGTGATATTTGATATCTGTTCTCTTTTTAATGGAAAGAGGTTGATATATGGCATCTTTATGTAAACAGCCTTGAAATGCCCAGTTTAGCTTTTGTTCCCTGCTAGTAGAATCAATTGTTAGCCTCCATTTGCCCAAATGAAGGACATTCTAATCTATATCTAAAACCAGTATGTGAGTAAGCATGCTCTTTGGGGAGTTGAAAATCACTTTTCTCTGAAAGTAGAATTGAGTCTAAGCGATCACATTTGGCTACACCTACTACTTAATTTGAATTAGAGAGTCTAGGCCCAGACTAAGTTTTGATTGCCAGTATTCAGTGCTGAAGCACACAAAGAGAGGACACTGGTGCAATTGCAATTGTGTGTTTCATTCACTGCTTAGCAGTCACAGCCACATAGATCTGAAATGCACAGACCTGAATCTAGAATGGAACCTGTCCATCCCCATCCAGCACTTCCTAACTAGATGTCTCCAGATGTGTTGATGCGCAATTCTTGAGATTTCCAGGCAGCATTGGAAATTATGGGAATTGAAGTCCATCTAGGCTGGGAAAGGCTGGACTGGCCAGTTGCTTCGTTACCACCCTTTTATTCATCAGTCAAGCATCAACCTTTTGAGGTATCCAAAAAATACAATTTGATACCTATTGATAAGTCATTACGTGTTTTTTGTAGCATGGGACTCAATGTTTCTCAGTGTACTCTTTCTGACCCTTCTGAATCTTTTGTAGATTAATTGATACTTCACTGTCTCTTCTCTTTGCAGAAGGCATGCCCCTGCTTAAAAGAAGAACCCCCGCCACCCCCGCCACCCCCGCCACCCCCACGACGCCCTGCAGAGGATTCCTCAAAAAAGACATTGGAGGTACAGGTCAGGCATTAGATGTTGCCAATTTTGAGAAGATCAACTTTGCTATTTGACTATCCATTAAGAAAAACTGTAGCGTCTGTGTCAGAGAAGAATGTTATATTTTCATGTGCGTAAACAAATTTATCTGGATGCTAAAGAGTATTTCAAGTGCATCCTCTTCAATCTCATAAAGTGGGCATTTAATCAAGAGCAGATCTGATCACAAAACACCAGTCAGTTTCTGAATTGTGTGTGTGAATCTGTGCCCCATGCATTGGAGAAATGATCCTAATAGATCTTGGAACTTGTGGTCTAACAGCCCCAAAGAGCCCCCCCAGTTTATTGGTTTCAAATTTCATGTCTCTGCAGACAATAATCTTAGGCTACCAATATCTAGGCTTGGTTTTACTTGAATCATCTGAAAAGCTGCAAGAGAAACAATCCTTGATACACCGCTGAGGATCTGCTCCTGACACTGCCTGAAACATGGCAAGAGACAGATTTTAGATGTCATTAAGATTGGCAGAGAGTGAAAGACAGAACTGACTTAGCATCACAAAAAGAATTTAACCACCCTGATATGTTACACCAAAAGCCTAAGGAAGTCAGCATTCTCTTCTTACTGTGGTCAACCCTAAATTTATGCAGGTGCCCCTAACAAGATTAGAGGGCAAAAGCACTCTTCCATCAGGATCCCTAGCAATTGGTACTGGAAGAGGTATTTTTCTGACTCTGAAGGCAGTGTGTTGCCATTGTGACTACAAGCCTTTAATACAGGTAGACCTCATTTACTAACTGCCTCATTCAGAGACTGTTTGAAGTTACAACGGGCTGAAAAAATAACTTTATGACCATTGCTGGCATTTACAACCTTTGCAGCATCCCTCAGTCACATGATCGCCATTACAGTCAGTATACATTGTTCTATACCTGATCTGTTGTTTTTCTCCCCCACCTCCTTTGCAGAGCAGAGAAATTGGAGAGGAAGGGATTACAAGAGAGTAAGCAGGCACACAGTGGGGAATACACCAGCTATTTGTGTAGCGTTCTCAGGGCTGCTGGCGCCATCATGTTCCTTTCGATGTGTATTCCCCATTGTGTGCCTGTCTACTCTCTTGTAATCCCTTCCTCTCCAATGAAAGCAAATACAAATATTAATTCCTTCTTGCTAATTATACCATGCTGGGATGAGCATTCCAAAGGGTGGGGGAGTGGGGAAAAGGAAAGCACAGTCATGTGATTTCCCACTTAGCAACTACCTCGCTTAATGACAGAGCTGCCAGTCCTAATTGTCCTGCCTGTAGTTTTATCTTCCATGCATTTGTTTAAACTGCTGGCCATTGCTCTAGCTTGTAGTTTAACCATGCACATGCTTTACATGGGGGTCCCCTTGAAGATGACTCAGAAACTTCAGTTGGTTGTTGCAGGAGCCAGCTGCATTGGTGGTTCATATGCTTTCAAGTGAATTCAAGTTGCCGGTTATCACCCTGTGCTGCTGACAGCCAGGATCTCTTCAAGACTAAGCATAATAATGACAACAATAATTTGCAAGAAGATCGCACAGACTGACTACAACAACGGCACAACAAAGTAGCAAGAATAGTGCATTGGAATATCTGCAAGAAAGACCATTTGCCTGCAAGCAAGAACTGGTGGGACCACAAAACA